TGGTGGGACGTTGGAGATAACTTTGAATCAGGACTCACCTTCTAAGAAGGGTTTCTAACACCTCAGGAACAGCAGTAGCAGAGCACGTTCCAGAGCAGACCACGTGTCGATGTGCGATATCCTGGACAGCTTCAGGCTTCCCGGTCAAATTCCAAAATTCCAGGTTGACTCGATTGAGTGCGGTGAAAATGGAGCTATCGATGTCCTCGCATGGGACCCAATCTCAAAATCCAGGAATATCCTGTAAACTCCTCACCAACCACTAACAAAAAAAACTCGAGCACACTGCTGACTCAAGAACCAGATCGAAAGTGCTCCAACCGGCACTGAAAACCACTTTTATAGTACTTCCCGGAAAGAGAAACCACGTCATGATCCAGGATGATCCGCGACTGTTCTGGAATGTCTGTTCCTTTGTTGAAGAGGAAACCCGAGTTGTAAAACAAAAAGGTGTATCTTCTAAAACCCTCTGCATTGTCGAAATGAGTGAATCGACCAATCATGATGTCCCATTTCAGTACTATTCTTTGGAATATTTGCACTGAGAAGTACCAGATTTAGACGTCATTCATAGAAATTGGTGAAAAGAATCTGGCAACTATGCATTTCAGCTTAGAGCCATATTTTCTCGCTATATGTTTTGAAATCATTTTCAACCACGATTTCAAAAGGATACGTCATCGTTATCAAGATCGCAAAAACGAATGGTTTCAAAATAATATATATATATATATAAAAAATGAAAAATGCTCAATGAATAAAAAAACAGATATTCCAAATTTGAATGTAATTTATTCAAATATTCTAGAAATAGAGAATAAAAGGCATGATAGACACAATATATCCATAAATTCAATTCCATCTTGATCAACCTTTTACCTTTCTAATTTTTCAACCCCATGTATTTTTTCATGTTACATATTGTCACTTTGACAAAGTTATATTAGTTTTATATCCATGAATTTATGCATTTTTTTACAATTTTATACTACATATTATTCTGATTTGCAATTCTACAACCTCATATACTGTAAGTAATTTTTAATACCCATTTCTTCAGAATATTATAATTGTGCATTCCATTTTAGAGAGACTGACGAAGGAATTAAATAAATTCCGAAAGCTTTCTCAAAAGTAAAAAGAGTTTTCTTTTGAGTCCCACATCAGCTGCATCCCCACAAAACCTATACCTAATCTATTGATTTATACAGCTACTAATATTAATTGAATATATATATATATACGTCATAAAGCAAAAGCAAATAACATAACCTTATTTTCTATGAAATAAATCATGAGAGTTTTGTAATATTATTGGAAATTATTGGATATTTTGTCAATATTGATACTACATCAGCAACAAAGTGCTCAAATACTGCTTCTGATTAATAATATGATGATTGATCAGTAAAATGAAGAGGATGAAGAATTATTCAACTCTGTATATTTATTTTTCAATTCCAGCCCACATACTTCCATTTGAGATAACGAAGTTCATAGACTATGACTTCTTCAGACAAACCAGGATTTCGAAAAATTCTTTCAATAAACTCCTGTCTGAAATAAATAATCCTGAAGTAGGGGGCCCCAACTTGAGTAAAAAATATGTTGGAGGTGGAGAACCCATTTCTCCTGAACGGCAGTTACTTATTACCCTTTCATGGTTGGGACAAGGTCACACTTTATTATCTGTCGCAGATGAATTCAACGTCTCCCCATCCACTGTGTTCAAGTGTTCTGATATTATTTTGGAGAAGATATTATTTTTGAAAAATAAATATATTGTGTGGCCTAATTCTGAGGAGATGGTTCACATCGAAAGTGAATTCAGAGGCAAATGTGGGTATCCAGGTATGTACGTGTCTCTGATGAAAGCTAGGTATTCAAATTAAAAAGTTTGTTGTTTAGAGATTTCAATTACCTACTTATTACTCTACTGATCACATTGAACATGGTAGTAATGAAACCAAATACAATAGATTTGACATTATCCTGTGTTATTATGTTCCTAACTTTTTTTTCCCTCAATTATAGGAGTAATTGGAGCTATTGATGGTACAAACGTCAAATTCAAGGTTCCTGCTTCCCAACAGGAAAGTTATATTGATAAAAAAATGGATCACAGCATAAAGCTGTAAGCCATTGTCGTGGCCAATAAACTCTTCACAAATATTAATGTAGGGTTCCCAGGTTCAGTCCATGATGCTAGAGTAAGTAAATGATATTCTGAATACACTAAGTTCTTTTGCATAATTCTTATTCATGATTAGTATTTGGTGAACCCAAAATAGTTTACTATGTTGTCCACTTATATAAAAAAAAACAAAAAAATAATTGGAAGTATAATGAACCGAAAGGATTAATTCTTTATTTACAATTGCACTTTGATGTTATATTATGTAACAATATGCTTCAGACTCAAAAGAAGCATTATCAATGACTTCCCAAATATTTTTGTAGGTTTTTAAGAATTTCAGTATATACAGAGATATTGTTTCAAATGGAAAATTGAGGAAATATTTTCCTCTGGAGGAATACCACTTGCTTGGGGATAAAGCCTATATTTTGTTGAGCTGGCTGATAACACCTTATAAGTAAGTATAATTTATACAACTGAACAAGAATTTTCAGTGTAAAGTGGAATTCAAATAATCAGTCTCTCTCATACAGTTTTAAAAAAATTTTTGACATCATTTGTCTCTTCAATCATTATTGATTTCGAATATTTACCTCCTGTACATTGTGATTAATAGGTAATGATTGTAATTTGTGTTGCTCTCATGCAAAATTGGATCTTTCTTCCAACTGAAATGCTGATGTTTTGAGTAGACTTAGACAATGTCATATTATTTTCAGAAACTATAAAACATTGAACAGGATTCAGAAGAACCACAACTCTTGTCACAGTTAAACAAGGATTAAGGTAGAACACATATTTGGTTATTTGAAACCCAGATGGAAAATATTGAAATATATTAATGTCAATAGTGTAAAAAAGGCTATTAAAATTATAGCCGCATCATGTATTCTACATAATTTTTGTTATATCAATGAAGATTATTTTCCCGACTATGAAGAACCAGAGGGAAATATTGTCAACCTGCAGAATGAAGCTGCTTATAACATACAGGCTGATCAAGAAGGTGTTATAAAAAGGAATGATATATCATTGTTATTGGATAACTGAGTAATAAACAAGGTTGGTAGAACTGATTATAATTTGTATAGGAAGGTTGCCTCGATCGATAGTGCGGCAAGGGGGAAAACGGTCACTCGTGACGTCACAGCCAGTAAGACGACAAGTTGTCAACCTTAAAGCGACATGTCATGAAATGTTTACCAAATAGAGTATACAAACATGATACAAACTTTTTGGTCTGCTCAGCATATTTATATTAATTTATTGTATATAATTATAAGTAAGTACCATTATAAAATATGGATATTTACATATACTTCTGTATAATACCTTCAATCTTCGAAATGAGAAGGCAATTTTGGATGGATCAGTAGTACAGAGAGGAATACCTATCTGAAATTTTGTTCCAGGGGCTATTTACCAGGTCGTGGTACCAGGTATGTGTGTTTTGAGGTATGGAGCATAATTATGGAGCTAGTGATTACTTATGCATTGATTATGAACCTACTCATCCTATAAATATCCTGCAAATCAGATAATGTGAACAAGAAACTACAGAAAATATAAGAATAATCAACTGATGATCCAGAAGTAGTAGCAGTGGACCAATATTCGTACACAACAGATCACTTATTTTATCAATATAACTCTGTATTCTGAAAAATTAACAAACTTTCCTATATACCTATAGAAAATACAAGAGGAAATAGTATTTCATTAAGTAATTGAGCATAAAAAAATAACAAAATATGATTCTGAACAAAATTAATGAAAAATAACACTACTATTATTATAAGAGAACCTATAATGAAGGATAGTTCAAGGAATCTCTCAAATAAACATAGCTCCTCTTCGTTTGGTAACGTACTCTTGCTCAAATATCTCAACTTGAAAACACGTGTGATATCTTCTGATGTCCATTTTACCCGTTCAGCAAGAATCTCAACATTCACAACTGGTCTGGTTCTGATCATTTTTCCAAACTTGAATACTTATGGTGTTTTTCTTGTTGTATTTGGTATTATTGATGGTATTCCTACCTTGAGTTTTCTTCTCTTTGGTGTGTGATTCAGCAATTCTGCTTGTGCCGTTCAAAATCCTCGGCATCGAAATGGGCAGAACATATTCGCCAAGTTTTGGTATTGAATGAATTAAAATTACGTCCACAAAATTGAATCCATTTCTCACGAATAGACTCATCTTATGGAAATTAATGGAAACACAAACTAAATTCACTAGTCTCATTACACTTGTACGAATTTTAACAAGAAGTGACCGAACAAATTATCATTTTTACATTTTTAAGTTCAAAATGGTTCAAATATTCGAAAATACTGACAACTGTCAACTCAATACATGCGCCGGCCAATCGCCGGCGTACATATTATACACGAAGTGTACGAGAGTGCTACACTTTCCGTGCAAAAGAAAGGGCCTATTACGTCATGAGTTACTCAAGGTTACTCGCGGGGTGCGATCGAGGCAACCTTCCTCTACAAAATAGTCATCAGTTCTACCAACCTTGGTAATAAGTCATTTTTGAAAATATTCAGTTTTTTATTGAAAAGTACCCACCCTCTTTCAGAACACAAAAAAAATTAAAATCTGTTAATAAGTGTTATTTTTAACAAATAATGATTCGAAATGCCATCCAAGATTTAACTCATGAAATAAACATTAAAAACAAAAATATCAATTCAGTCTCATCCATACCAACTCATTGACAGAATATAAATGTAACAAAAAAAATCAAGATTGTAAAAAAGAAAATAATGTATTATATGAACTCAAAATGTCACCTCCAACAATTATGTATTTCAGTCTCATCAATTCTTATCTCTATTTATAAAAAAAACTGCAGTCAGTCTGAATCACTTGTATTTTCCCTTCTTTTTCGTTTGACCGTTCTGTTTTTTGACAAACTATTGATGAGTGCCATAGTTTCTTCATGTCTTTTCTCGCTTTCAGAATTAAGGAAGGTCATCATGGAGCTGAACTGCTCTTTACGAATCTCTTGGTTTTCTTTCCCCAAAGAATACAATTTTTCTAAAACTATATTTTTGTTGGGAACCACAGAGGCCTTAACTCGTTTGAATCTATTTTCTTTCACACTAGATTCATTTGTTTGTGAACTTGATGCTTGAGATGATTCTGGTAATGACTCGGGTAACGAATCTATCACCAAAACTGTATAAGTCTTATCCTTGCTGCCTAATATTTCATCAATTTCGTGAAAGGAAGGTGGCATGACTATTTTTCCTTGCCCTGTCATCTTCTGTTTATCTTTATAATTAATATATGATGCTTGTAGGTTGGTGAATTTTTGTCTACATTTATCTCTTCCCTGTACTCCTTGTCCTACATAGTAGCCCATTTCGTTCAATTTTGTGGATATTTCTGTCCACAACATATTTTTGTTATTTTTCTTGTCCGAAATTTTATCATCCATATTTTTTCTCAATTCTAAGAATATCATGGTTGTTTCATTATCCCTAGGGGTTTGATTTTTTGAGGAACTCCATATACATGTTTTCTGTCCCTTTAACTGGCTATCTGACGATTCTACAGGATCTTTTGGCTGAACACTGGATGAAGAAGAACCTGGTGTTGAATATATTGGCAATGCTTCTGCTGAGACTCCAGGTGAGTTTGGCGGAATTTGGTTAAGTTGCTGCCTTATTTGTTTCAGATATTGACTGGCTACTGATGGATCTTATATAAAAAAATATTTCATGACATTTTTTGCAAGGTTTTCAATGAGGGATCAGCGAGGTTGATTATTATAATATCATTACCTTCAAGTTTTCTGGCAGTTTCACTGTCAATTGTGACGAGTAGATCATCTAATTGGATTTGTACCATACCTTCCATATTAAACAGTAAGCGACTGGATATAAAATGAGAATTTTCTTTTATTCACCTTTCTTTAGAGTCGACACAATATCATACCACCAACAAATTTTAGGTTACGTTGACAGCAGTTTGGTTATTTCATTTCGTTAATGTACCCCCACTCTTATTAAATTGTCCTCTTGAGGTGATTTTTAAATACTTTCAATATCTGACAGATGTGACGTCATTGTATGAAATAATTTTATCGAGAAAATAGAATGCTTTCAAAGTATTTAAAATACTTTACCGAGAAAATATGGCTTAGCAATGGGCGTGTTGATGAAGTTATTGACAACATTGACAGAAGACAGATACAATATAGTACCAAAACAAACAGGGAATGGTACCAAGCATAATTTTCTGATCTAGGATTTCCTCCAAGCAGCCCTGAAGACCTTAATCAGACCTGGCGAGAAAATTATAATATTCTAGTTTTGAATTCCAGAGCAGAGCTTGGGTACTCAAGTTGGTGAGTACCTATACATGTACTTACAATAATACATCAACACTGGCTTCTTTTCCAGGAAGAAAAATCTACACCCCTATCAATTTTGATACCTTAAGGAATCCTGACTTTATTCATATATAGGCTCTGGAAGAAATCTCACCCTAAAATTACACGCTGGGTTTTCCCAATCCAGAAAATATATGGAATTTGAATGCATACTAGCATACCTATAATAAACAAGAAGGAAACACTCAATTCAAATATCCCGTAATGCTCATATCATCCCTCCACTACAAGTCGGTCAGTCTAACATAATTGTTATCATTATTTTTGGTTTTAATAAAATTTTTGTCATATATTTTAAATATATTTCCTACATTGGTTGATTCCTCGATTTGAAAATAAGTAGGCAACCCACAATATACCATTGATGTCTGCTGTGTTGCCTGGTAATTGAATGAGATGATGTCTTCGGTGGGAATGAATCGAAAATGAGTTCCTGATATGATTACTAGATTATTTGACCCTATACACCTAATTATATGATTGAAAAGTTGATGAAAATCATCACATATCACCCAAGAACATAAAAATAATTAGTATGTACAATTTAAACGTTACACACCCCCTCTTCCTGGGAAAAAAAATTGTTCCACTAGTGGATCAATTTTTTTTTCAATAATCCGGGTTATTTTGGGTTTTGTATCTATGCGTACAACACATCCAAAGAAATGGAGTCAAAATCGGGTAGTCAGTTTGATAGTTTTACAAATTCGGTTAATGTTTAGTCAGGGAAAATCTTCCACAAAATAACCTATGTGATAGGAACTGGAGGGGTGAACATATATATCCAATTAATAGCTTTATAGCTTGAACTAGATAATAAACGAAGCTACATTCGTTGCTAGTTTCTTGTCCAAAGAAAACTAGTACAGGGTTGAAAAATAATAGTACTATTGAAAAAATTTATTTTTTCTTTTGGGGATTTAACGCATGTATGCATTATATCACGCGAAATAATATATTTTACCACAATATGTCGACATATGAATTTTCCACTTATGGATTACCCAACTGACACATCTGAATTAGACCTATAGCAGGGTTTTAGATCTTCAATGTGCCAATCTCCTGCTGGAGATCCATCTAAATTGTCTAAATTATAGACCAATCTAGATACCTCTTTTCTGACAATACTCTCAATATATTTAGGTGCAAGTTTTGCACTGAACTTAGCCGCTGCTTCAGACAGTACCTTATTCCTTCTATATACTTTATCGTTTATATTGAAGGAGATATCTCTCTTCCTGAGACTATAGACTCCAGCATTTTTCCGATATGCAATATCTAATTTTTCTTGCACTTCCTTAAACACATAAGACAAACCTGAAATATTTCCTAAATAACTTTCTCTATCTGGGATTGAAATTTCGTAACCGTCTGTAATAGATACAATTCCATAATATTGGTTGCATACATCAGATATATCACATCTCCCCTTTTAACAATAATTAGAGAATACAATTATGTGGGAGGTAATTATTATAACATACAAACTTACATAACTAATATATCACAGATAACACCAAGTTTACAATTTATAATATATGTATATAACACAATCACAGTTTACAATTTTACATAACAAACCCTAACAAACAGAACATGTAATTGCTAACTAGATGTTAAATATTTTGTATATTCTTTCCCTTTTTTTTTTCTTCAATTGTTATGAAAGTATTGTGAACGAATGAACAATTTTGTGTATTGCAGTGTCATCATAGGAGTTTGATTTTTTTATATGAATAATTGTATATTTGATCAAAATTTCTTCTGAAGTTTCTGTAACTAAAATATCTGGTCAAAATATTATTGAGAAGTATTTTGTAATACTCTCCCTATTCATCATCTGAATTTGAGGCAAAGTCTTCAAATCGACTTGGTCTTTCGATCAGTCGACCACTTCTGGTAATTGCTGTTCCTATTTTGGAAGTTCCAGGTGGCTCTATGCTTTTCTTAATTCTTTCAGGTGAAATTTTGTCAGATATATTAAAACTAACATCACTACAACAATTTTCAAATAGTTCGTCATCATTTACAAATTCATTTTCAGGGCGATTTGCATTGTCTTCTAAACAATTATTGTCGAAATTTTCTGAATCGTCAACACTTACATTTTCCAAATTTTCATGATTTTCATCAAAATTTTCATCAACACTACTAGATCTGTTTTCAATGTCTCCTCTTTGAATTTCAATAAATTTATTATCCCTGTATTGTTCATCATGTTGATCATTATTTATTGTTCTACTTGGTTGAAAATCAACTTTCTTATCTTCTTTATTTTGGATGAAAGTTTTATCATTTCCCATTTGAATTTTATATGACCTTATACCGACTTCATTGACAATTCTCCCAGATTCCCATAATCGTTTTGGTTTCAGCTGAACTTTGACCAAACAATTATTTTTTAATTCTTCCAACTCTTTTACTCCTTGATTATCATAGTGAGTTTTCATATTTTTCTGAGATTTTCTCATAAAATGATCATATTTAGGTTTATTGAATACCTTGGTCTAAAAATTCTTATTTGTTTGTGGGAGAATAGTTCTTAAATTTCGGTTCATTAATATATTTGCTGTCATTGTCAACTGGAGAATTTCTCAGATCTAGTAGAGCTAAATAAGGATCTTTCTTATCAAGAAAACATTTTTTAAACATATTTTTCACTGTCTGAATAGCACGTTCTACCTGTCCATTGGATTGAGAGTATCTTGGTGATGAAGTTATATGTGTGAATTCCCAACTTTCAGCAAAATCTTTAAAAAAATAACTGGAAAATTCAGGTCCATTATCTGAACACAAAATTCTTGGAATTCCAAATCGAGCAAAAATGGCTTTCAATTTTGATATAACATTATGACTAAAGAGATCATTATTTAAATTTGCTACTTCTACATATTTAGAATAGTAGTCTGTTACGAGTAAATAACTTTCATTATACAAATGAAATAAATCACATGCTACTTTATAGAAAGGCAATTCAACAATTTCATTTGGAATCATAGGTTCAGGGCTCTGTGATTTCTGGAGATTTTGACAGATCTGGCAACATACAATCAAATCCTGTATGTGTTTATTCATACCTAGCCAAAAAAATTATAAAATAGCTTTTGCAGTACATTTATTTATACCTAAATGGTCATAGTGCAGTTAATTTAATATCTCCTTTCTGCAGTTTTTTGGTACAATCCATTTTTGACCTTTATATAACAAACCATTTATTTCTGTTATTTCATATTTGAATCTGTGATAAAATTTTAAATTTTCTGGTACATCTTTGATTTCATTTGGCCAACCTTCTTTCATAATGTTCTTCAATTGAATTTTCGAATCATCTGCTTGCAATCCAAATTTTGATATCTTATGACCCATATATTCTACTTCTTCAGCAAACATTTTACATTTGTTTCTATTGAATCTAAGTTTATGTTCTACAGCTAACTCAAAAACTTTTTTTTAACGAGAATTATGTTCTTCTATCGTTCTGCCTGATATTATCAGATCATCAACATATACTTTAACTCCTTTTATATTTCCAAATATTTCTTCCATTCTTTCTTGATGAACTTCACAAGAACTAGATAAGCCATATGGTAATCGAAGAAATCTATATCTGCCAAAGGGCGTTGCGAAAGTGCATAATTTCGCGCTCTCTTCATCTAGTTTAATCTGAAGAAAACCTTGGGTTGCATCTAAAGTACTAAAATATTGAGCACCTGACAATTTTGCAGTTAATTCTTCCAAAGTAGGTAAATGGAAAAAATGTCTGTGGGATTGTAATACAGGCAAAAGGACGATCAAGCAGAATAGAACTATTCAATATGAAACACTGACATACACATCAACATTTTCTGACATGACATAACATTATTTTCAATACCATACATCTTCAGTTACTGGTTGTGGTTGCTATGATAACTAGCAATGGAGAATATACTATATGTTTGATGTATCAGGTGGTGGTACATCTGGTCCCACATCTCGGCCCTCCTGATCATCATCCGCCTCGGTTGATGTATCATCCTCTCCAACCCATGGCTTCAAAA